AATTTTGGCATGACTGTTGTTGTTTTGTATGTCTATATTGGCATCCATCTTTTCCCTCATTTTAGTCTGAGCCATTGAATGTAATCACGATATTTTGTGGATGTGTATGTACATGTACGAGTATAAATGATCAAACAATCATGGTATTGGCTTTAGCCTTTTCGACCAGTGAAATTTATACCAGTTTATCGTAGTGGACTACAACTATTTGTAAAAAAGTTTAAACAATTACAAGTTATATTTCTTGGGATAAACATTTTAAATTATCAAGATTGTGTCATAATATGTTATCTAAAATTTTCGTCAGCTATTACATAAATATGCGTGACACGAATGGTACATACGTATGCATCATATTTTTTTGCAAGCACGTAAAGAGAATGGTATTGTATACTATTGTAACCGACATAACTTTTGAACCAGACAGACCAAACCACTACAGATCTCTGTTCATGCGCTAATGAATTATCTGCTAAGCACGAAAAATGTTAACTTCCAAAATAAAATCAATGGAATCCACTTTCTGGAATAGACAAACGTCGCCAACTTGTAGTGAATGCTCGTAGCAAAATGAAAGTCAGTTTCTGCCAATGAGTCTTACACTGTGCTCGCTTCTTCTCTTCAATCTTATGTTATAATTAGTACACCTTGCAACGAGGAATACATTGTCGCATTCGTCTGTAATGTACTTTCTTACGAAGTCACTAGGCATGAGCTACACCAATGAAATATAACTAATTAAATTAATTCAACGTGTGCAAATGATAATATTTGATATGATGTAGAGTAATTGTATTATGGGTTTTGTGCGGCCTGTGATTTGTGTACGGGTCATGACTGTTATGTATTACGGATATTTGGGTTATGATAGTATTGCTTCTATTATTGGCCTCATACACCTTATGAGTGGATCGTACATTGATAGACGTAGGATTCGAGTTGAGTAGATTCCTTTCTTTGTTCAAAGTTTCTTGACCGCGCTGAAATGTTCTGTAATGTATTATTTCAAAACATTAATACATATATAATTGTGAAGATGAAGATGTGTCGTTATTGAATAGTAGTTTAAAAATCAAGAGAAATATGGTTGAACCATAGTGATAGTGTACTTACCATCATCTGGTTGTCGAATTCTTTCTATGCCTTTTACCGCCAACTTTATCGAATGACGTGCAGTAGCGCCAATATCTTTTGGATTGCTGCTTAGAGTGGCCACATTTTTTCCCTGATGACTTTTGTGTTATTCTTTTTTCAGATATCGGAGTTAAAGAACGAGCGACCATTGAGGTTGAATATATTGACTGTAAAATTACTCATGCCGGTGTATTTAAAATTGAGGACACAACCAATAGTTACTGAATAATGTTGCATAAATTGGTGCAAATTATCAGTGAAAAATAATGATTTTGTGTCTGCTTCCCTGTTAACTCCGATTATCCAAGAATCTCTCGTTGGTAATTGAAAAATTGTGGGTGATGAGAGCTCCGACCCATATTTGTGAGTAAAATTCAATGGAATATCCTGGTGTCACAAAATCAGGTGATTCAGAGTTATAATTTTACCAATTATGGAAGTTTGACGACATGGGTGCGCTGCTATAGAAAAGGATATAACATAAAATAACTTACCATTTTATGTTGGGTGAGGCACTGTATCCATGACTCTTAATGGAGAAAACTATGGATATTGGTCTACTTCAATGCAAACAGCATTGTGCTTGAAGAATATAATCTCATTCATTGATGGAAGCTCCAAAAGACCGTTAGTCATCGACACGATGTCTCTTGCATGGGATGAAGCTAACGCAATGGTAAAAGGATGGATATACCAATCCATTGATCCTAGCATCGTAAAAAGCTTGTCATGGTTTGAATCTGCCATGGAAGTATGGGAGGATCTGAAGAGCCGCTTTATTATAGCAAGCACAGCAGAGGAAGCAAATCCTTGCAAGATGAAGGATTACACAATCACCGTTCCATGCTCGTGCTTTTTTTTGTAACCATAAGCCCCACACCATAGAATGATTATCATTTGGGTAGAGGCGGTAAGGGTGACCCTCGTGAATATTTGACATCCTGCGGCACGAGTGGTTGAAGTAATATGTTTTTGTTGGTGTATCAAAGATTGTGCTGGCCTAGGTATAAAATGTTTATGATACTTGTAGAATGACTTTGCTAATAATATATAGATATAATTGTGTTCGTTTCATTAAAAAGGAAAAAATTAAATTATGTTATACACGAATTCCTATGATATTCTATGCAACACTATTTATTTTATTGAAGATCAAATGCAATCTTGTAATGTTCCTACTTTTACCTATTTCAGAATAAATTTTTTAAATTCTTGGTACCAATTTGTCAACATACTGTGAGCGCATGTTACATTTTTTTTGGTATAAAAAACAATCTCATCTTGAGGATTTGTTTTGTGGAATTGAAGACTCCGCGTGGAGTTGGACAACTAAGGGTCGATGTCATGAACCATGGTTTGTTACTGTGTGCGCACATTGGTTGTTGTTTTGTTGAATAATCATATCAGGTAAAATATTTATTGGTAAATTGTTAATGTTTTTGGTTGGTAAATTCATATTCATAATAATTGCAACTTTTTTTCCTTTTGTCAATACGCAATTGTGACATAGAAAGTATTATTATGTATATGACATCATTGTCTGTCGTATAGTTACAGAGAGAATCCATTATCCCAACTTAATTAGAGTTAATTAATATTGAATCTGTCGTCGTACGACAATTAATATGCAAAATCAAAATATCAAGTTGGAACCATTGTGCAACATGGAACGATGCTCTAGCTATTAATTTTATTTTAATAACGAGAATAACATAATTATGATTAAATTCAGTTTAAAACTTTTGTCAGCTCTTTCAAACCTGGCTCGTCGTTCCCGTACCGAACACTTGCTTCGTTTATCGCTTATGTGGATAAGAGACTGTGCGTTTATGTCATGCAAAGATTAATTTTAATTAATGATAAGGTAATCGATTAATTCATCCGTCAATTTGTAGCAATTGCAAAATTAATTACCACCGGTATAACATCTCGCTTGTACAATTTTAAAAACACAAAAATTTCCGGACAGAAATTAAATTAGTATACATCTCGCATGACAATACACGTTATGCTGACGTGTAATATTTCAGCTTACCTTTGGGGTGTGAATGTGACCATTACATCTTATAATTTAATGAAAATTTTGGTATATAATTAAGCGTCAATTTCATTTGGAATCCTTCGACGATAAAGGGGTATCTACATGTTTCACAGTTGAGTGACTTTAGGCATAGATCATGGCAATTTGAATTTCATACGCACAGAAAATGCGATAGGGTCACATAAAATACATATACGATTAAAGTGTGATTAATCATGTTCTTCTTATATAAAATCTATTGGGCTAAAAGAAACTAGCATTGGTTGCAAATGCAAATATGCAATTGTAGTGCTTATGAATGTAAGGGGATGTTTGGTAGTTGAGATTTTATAAATTGATGCTTTTATTCGATTTATGCATTCTAATTAGACATATTGTATTAATTTGTGAAATTTAAAAATATACTGTTTGTATGTTATATGATTGTAGTATATCCTACAAAAATTAGGAATTTACAAACTCACAAACTCAACACAAAGTGAGATTTCGACAACCATCCATAATGACTAATTCTGGCAGTTATTCAACTAAAAAAAATTAATTGTTACATTTTCTACTTAAATACAAATATGAAATTTCATTTGAAGACAGAATACGAACGAACCCTTATGTTTGTATGTATTGTACAAATCTTGCTAAAAGGATGGTATCAACGTTATTTTTGTTCATTGATAATTTAATTCATAAATTAATGTACTATACAAGTTTTGTATGTTATATATCGTGAGTTGTTATATCAACGGTTAACCACTAAACACTAAATGACTAATTCTTCCAGTTCATTCGCTAGTACAATACTGAAACATAAGACTTTCACTTTTTATTTCATCATGAAAGGAATAGTAAGGCAAATACTATTGATACTTGTAGGTCACAATGGGTAATGACATAGTGTCCTTTTTAGCAGGACAAATTTATCACAATAAAGATTTTTGGATGGTGACTAGCTAAAACAAATTTCTCACAATAGAAATTTTTGGATGGTGACTAGCTATTGAAAATTTATTATATTGACAATTAAATATTGGTGCCATGAATTGTCCCTATCAGTTCTAATATTATAATTTTCTTGGGTTGTTGTATTTGTGTTTGTTACTTGTTGTGACCGTGTAGTCATTGTGCAATGGTGACTTTGCATAATTGGTATATACACACAAAAGAAGAAGCAAAATAGTGTTTGGTTGGCCAATGCCATCTAAAACATCTTCTTTCTTTCCAATATCAAACGAGCAGCTGATTTTAGAAAAGGACAAAGAGGTTTTTTGTATTCTTTCCTTATTTCCTTCTTCGACTTCCTTCCGTTCATTGGCTCTGTTCGATCTCAATATTGAAAACTCATTGATGTAACACTCCATTTTCAGGTTAGGGTTCGATTAAGGTTCGACCGAACGTTTGGATCGACGGTTACGTACAAAGAGTTACAACCACATATTAGGGAAAATAATAATAATAATTATTATTATATTATTATTCATTAAACTAAAACCCTAGACGCCTAGACCGCCTTTCCTTCTTCAGTTTGCTGCCGCCCATACAAAGAGAAAAGCTCTCCCGCCTCGAGCCCTTGCAGGAGCTAGAGAATCTCATCTCCGGTGCTCCTGTTGACTACCTCCGCTCCTACGTCTCCGACCTAGGGGACTACCGCGCCCTCGAGCAGCTCCGCCGCATCCTCAGGGGGCTCACGTCGCTCAAGGTTGTCTTGGTTCTGCCGCCGCAGAAGCGAGATCCTACGCCTTTGTCCTTGCTGCCGTTGTAGAGAAATCATTTTTTATCATGCAAGGATGTTAGTGATCAAGAGACGTGTAAGTTGTTTCCGTTTGTTGCTATGGCTGTGAAGACTTTGAATTTGGGGGCGGTGAGGAAAGGCAAGTTTGTTCGGGCAGTGAGGTTCCATGGTTATGCCCATCCCATTCGTGCGTTTAAAATGGTTATAACAGAGGTGGGTAGTCTGAGAACCGAGGAGGTGGCAGAGATGATGGCAATAGAAGTGGAAGTTACAACAGTGATGGTAGAAGTGGAGGCGGTGGCAATAGAGGTGGTGGTCGTGGTGGCCCTCCAGCCGGGCATGGTAGTATGTGGTGGATCGAGGAGTCAAGGAGGAAGTGGTGGTTCTGATGGCAATGAATTGGATTAGAGCTCATGTGATGGTGGGGATATGGTGAGCAAAGTGGTCAATTAAATGGACAAGCAGCCAGCTTGGTCAAGCGGCACTTGGCAAACGAAAATAAGTAAGCAATCAGCTCTTGAGATCGTCTAGGCAAGCTGATCTCGGTGGTGGGTCAAGCGAAAGGAAGCAAGCAATGTTTGGGTCAAGCGGCAAATTGGAAGGGCTAGAAATAAATGGACATGGTTGGATTCCTTCTTTGTTTTTTTGCAAATAAGTGGACATGGTTGGATTCCTTCCTTGTCTTTTGGCAAATAAGTGGACATGGTTGGATTCCTTCCTTGTCTTTTGGCTTCTTTTGGCAAATAAATGGACATGGCACGATTCCATTAATTTGGACCAGAGTTGCGGGAAGGATTTCCATGTGGCGCAGCAGGGAGGTTGGAAGCCGAGAAGCTGTCAGCAGGAGTTGTGGCAGCGGGACATGAGAGTTTGACGATGAAGAATAGCAGGTCGGGGATTATAAGAAGTACGTGGAAATGAGGTTCAGATGCAAAGTAGTTGGTTGTAGAGAGAGCAATGCAAGGAGACGAGGTCCACCTACCTCACATCAAGGTTGTACGTCAGTATCAAGATGAGTGTAAAAGAAGTAAATTCTACACCTTACGGTATTTAAGTTTTTGAGATTTGACTGCTATGTGCCGTACATGCCTTTGTATGTTTATATGATGTCATATGATTTATGTGATTTATGCTTTCAGTTTTATGTTGTTGTGTGCTATACTTACAAGTAAGTTTAAGTTTAAGAAACAAGTTCTTTTTAAGAAGTAACTCACCTTCAAGAAGGTGAAGTCGTTATAAGTATTTTTAGTCACTAGCGCCAGTCCGTTGCCATTTGAGATTTTCAGATAGAGCAGCAGTTATGCTCTTGAGATCTTCGAGATAGAGCAGTAGTTATGCTCTTGAGACTTTTAAGATGAGCAGCAGTTATGCTCTTGAGATTCGTGGTGAAGAGCCACCACGGTAAGTTTAAGATGTTAGGGGGATGAATCGTTACGACTTCCCAAACTAAGTTTAAGTTTAAGGAAAGCCTGGATGGCTTCTCATACGTATGAGTTGGCAACCGGACTAGCTAGTGAGGGATCCCCGTGTCGGTCAAGATTTAAGTCAAGTTTTGAGCTTTAAGAGAGGAGAGTAACTTCAACTCCTTCAAAGTTTAAGAGTTAAGAATTTAAGATTGGAAGTACAAACAACTTCCACTAGTCAAAGTTAAGTGTTTAACTAAAGTACTCAAGTATTAGAATTATTAAAACGTAAGGGCGTAGACTGACCCTATCTCACTCACCAGGATTTAGTAAAGGAATAAGCGGGAACTAGATCGATAGTTGCAGCTAGAGGAGCAGTTAGTGAGCAGCGAGATCGAGAAAGCTGTTCGAGGCAAGCCAGCTAGAGGAGAGCAGTATAAGCGTCACAGAGGATGCTTAGTCAAGGTTTCTGTAGCAGCAATATTAGAGATTATTAGTTATTTACATTTATGATTATGAGTATAGACTGGACATCAGTTTGAGATTTTAAAGTTTGAGCTTAATTTGCCCACGTGTTAGGGCTTTGCTTTGAACTACAAGTGTGTGTTTTCAGTATTTTATTTATGAAAATTTTTCCCGCTGAAATTTAAGATTTGAGTATTTTATTTATCAAGGGAATTTTAGTAAAAGTAGTACCCGGCCGGGTTAGGGTGTTACACTTGACATGCTCTCTCTTGTTTTCGTTTTCTATACTCAGTGGTTGCTGGTGGTTAGTTTAAGCTTCTCTCTGCTACCTGGCTTCTCCGAGATTTTTATCGGTAATTATTTTGATGAATTTTTTTTATTTATACATTACTATTTTATGCACCCACATCCATTTTTCCCGACATTAATAAGTTGGCAGAGGATATTGGTTAATGGAAAGTGCTGTCGTTGCCTTTATAATAATCGTTGGGACTATCTTTTTACAATCAGGTGTTATTCTTACAATAGGGCAAAGAGAGCAAATCCGGTCACCGATAATGACCCATACAAGGTAAATATTCTCTGGCGCTCATTAGAAGCACGAAAAAAACTTCACGGCGACGGAAACAACAACGTATACTTCCATCCTGATCCACAGGTGTGTGCCATGATCCACCTATTTTAGTTTTGTGTAAACACCACTATATAACTGCTCTCCGAATGTCAACATAAACAGTAGGTTTAAAGGGATCATTCACGAATATTGTCTATCTTAAAACAAATATTATCAATAATTTATCACTATATTTTTTAACAAATGCATGTTAGTAGTATTCCTTTTGTCGATATTTTCATTGTTATTAAAAAATCACTTGTGTTTTGTCAAACTATTATAATGTGTTGCTGTTTTTTTTTAAATGTTATCTGATGTTATCATCGGTCCTGATTAGTTTATATATCAGTATAAGATGATGGGTTTTTAGCAAAATATAAGGAGCAAAGCATTGAGAGATCGTAGGATTTAACTATGTTTTGCTTTGCTATAGTTTATGTGGGTTGGTTGACAACGCCAACGTCAGATTTTTCTGGTGGTGGAATAAGAGTGAATATGTTATTGCGATGAAATGAGTACTTATATTTATATAATTGATCTCCCATAAAATTACTATTTATTTTGTTAGCTGATGATAAATAGAGGCTGAAAAGAAGTAAAGTGTTTGACGTGCAATATGTACATTACGAGAAGTCAGTCGTGTACCTTGTATATTAATAGAAGTGGTTGATGTTTTGTAGGTTGTCTTGTGTTATGTCAAAAGATTATATTCTGCCCAGCTCCCCACGAGGTTGGTTCTTTCGGATGCAACATATTTAGATGGGGCTTATTCCCTTCCTTTTCTAAGTTTTCATCTATTTTATCGGTTGACAGTTTCATACCCTCGATCTAAGTTAAGAAGTTTATCGTATAAGAAGTGTATCCCATGTACGTTGTTGGTTATTTTTAATACAGATCCCATAAATTCATCCATTACTATCCGGGATTTATTCGGGGATGTCCTATACCAACCATTGGTTGTGAGACTCATTCACCAGTGGGAGGCAAGGGAATCCTTTGGTACTAACCGTCCACCTGCATTTTGCACTCTATGGATGGACAAAAATGTAATTACAATCTAATCATTTTTCAAACTATGTTCTTTCTTTAATTTTGACTAATTGCCAACATGTTCTTTTTGTAGGAGGACTTACAATGGCCAAGCATTTTAAAGCAGTCAAATGCTTGATAACAATGAACTGTATTTATATATGATCACATGTTCCACTTATTATTGCGAGAGAGAGGAACCGATATGCCCCAGGAGACTTACGTTTGCATATTGTGTCGGCGTATCAATTTATTGAAACTCCTGACAATAATGTTTTGCGGAAAGATTTTCCAATTTATCAATTCCCTAATGAAGGTTTTAAAGGCACTGAGTTTGAAGACCTACGTCCCATGCTATCTGATCGTACACATTTAGCAAGTGAGTTGATTCTCCGGTTCTACAACGTTTAATAGTTTAATCGTGATTCTCGTACTTGTTGTAACATATTCATTGTGAAATCGTGTTATTCTGTTTCACATTTTAGTATTAATATGTGCTTCATTTCTTCATTGTGCATCTCATGTCTGCACTCAACATACTTTATAAGGTCATTCTTATTTATTTGCATGTTATGTATTCAATTATTATATAGTTGTTTGTGATTTAACCCCTGATCAATTGTTGTTTCCATATCTTACGGGCCGGTTAGTTTCAATTACCACAGCACGAGATCATCCAAATGGCACGAAAACGTTTACCGTTGTGTTGGAAAATATAAGGTCTTGCTCGAATAAATTACTATATTTTATCTTATGATGTGAAAGTTATTTAAATTTTAATTCTTTGTGATTGGAGTTAAAAATTTAGAAGGAAAAAAGTCGCCATAGTTTTCATTGGACCTCAACACTATAGCATTCACCAAGAAGCCAAAAGGACCGAATGGCTTGGACCAGTTATATATACATTCACTGGGGTGCGTGTTGGCGTGACGTCTAATCCAACTGCCAATCTTACATTCGATCATTTCCAATATGGAGTGATTTTGTTTTAACGCCCTTCCCTTTTCTCTTTCTTGTTGTCCATTAAGTACAGAAAAGTATAGATTGCACAGTACATCAGGAAGTCGTATTATTTCTGCCACGTATACCTACAAATATAAGGATATAACAGAACGGTAAGCTCTCCATTTTGTTTCACTTTCATATCCACTTGTTAGAAACTAAACAAAATACTTTATATATCAGTTTCTTCGACGTTCACATGCCTGTAAAGTTGGATCCAGATGTTCAACAACCAGGCATAAAATACCTTCGTGGTAAACTGCCAGAGTGAATCATGCTAAGGGATCTGATTGCTTCTCTTAATTCCAGTGAACCACAATATAGGGTTAGATACGTTCTTCTTACCTAAGTTAATAAGTTGGCTTTAACATTTGATAGAAAATGGTCTATTTAGGGTGTGGGTGTATATAATTATAAACAAGATATCAATATATGCACATAATATAATTATTGTATGGTTGTAGTTTGTCCTTTAACATACTGTTTACTAATAGTGTGCAATCTATGATATTTTATGCATTTTATGATTCAGAACACAAATTTTGTATATAATGTAACCCATTTTTATGTGACAAATGAACGTTGTTGTTTCTTCTTTTCATCAGAAACGCTATTGGTGCCTGTTGAAAATTGAACATTTTGATTCAAAATAAGATGTCATATTGCAGTACCATGAAAGGTTTGCACACTATGCTTTATACTAACGTACATAGCTTGATAAAAATAGCATGTTTGATTTTTTTATCATCATTCAATCAATCCATATTAGCTATTGGAGTACAGTCACTTGTGGGGATGGGACTTTTTCTTATGACCTGACATTCAAACCTTGCCCGACAACTACGCTGCTAAAAACACCAGTTATGGAATTTTTAAAACTTACAAGGAGGGGGAGA